ACACACACATATGTGTATATAAAACTTTCTTCTGCAAATGTCAAGGATTTCCTCATCATGCTCATATCCACTAAATAGTATCTAATATGCCTTTAGTGTGAATTTCCCCCCTTATCACCATCATGATGGATGTATCCAGGTGGATCCTAGCAACAGTTTCATCTGACTTAAGGCTATAACTATTGTCCCCTGGTCCTCACGCTCACTGTGCTCTTCCAGCTGACGGCATTTGGCGGGTTCCTGAAGTACACAGTGTCTTACGACATTCCGATGGAGACAGTCGACAGTGACCTCATGTCTCATGCTGATGTCATCATCAAGGTGACTGATTTGCATTGATTTGATGTAGAGCTTGGGGTCTGGTGGAGTGGCACACACATGAACACGTACGTGTGTATGTGTGTGTGTGTGTGTGCCATACATGCACAACTGCACATACACACAATATAAAAAAAATACAGTTAACTGCCCCTTCTCTAGTAACTTTGGATTGGGTCATGTACTCCATTACATGTTTGCTGTAAGAACTTGTTTGCGGGATACAGAATTTCAATTTTTGGTCACTAAGTTGCATTACAAATGCCTTTCCTCTCGGTTTCCTATGCTAGGGAAATGGGCTTACTCTGAGCACACAGGCTGAGGGCCTGTCCCTGCAGCCTTACGAGGAGTACTTCAACGTGGTTAGGCTCGTGCCTGAGAACTTCCGGGACTTTAAAACCAGAAGGGAGATCGACCGTGACCAGCTCATGACCGTCCTGGCCAATGTGACACACCTGTTGATCAGAGCCAACTATAATTCTGCCAAAATGGCACTCTACAGGTGTGTACTGAAAGGAGGGAAGGAGATTGCTACAGAGGTACTTGTAGAGAGGTCATCTTGTCTTTAGTGTTACCTATGTCAAAAGTAATATACATATGAGAGATACAGTTCAAGGAAGTAGGTGTGTTGAAACTGCTTTCACGAAGGTAATGTTGCAGACACTAGACGTCCATAATGACACATGTGTCTGATAGGAAACAGACGATTTTAGGTTCAGGAGCCTTCCGGGGCAATGCTTCCAAGCAGTGCTAAATGAGTGACCAGCTCCTGAACCATTTTGCTTCCCTGGCCCTTCTCTCCCTCCCTCTTCCCTTCCTTCCTTCTCTCCCTTCAGTCCTCTGGTGCCAATGGCCTTGGCTTTGCACGGTTATTTGAGCTACTGAATCCACCCTTGGTCATTTGGTTGCCTTGAGGAGGTCAGTGTGTGGAAACCAAGTAGAAAATTGGATGCTGCTAAAGCAAACCTGGGGAAATCCAGGGGAGGATTGTCTCTGAATTCACGATGAGGCAGCTGGTCTTGGGTGGCGGCGAGGTGTGTGTGTGTGTGTGTGTGTGTGTGTGTGTGTGTGTGTGCGCGCGCGCGCGCACGCGCGCGCGCTTCCATCAGAGCTTTCCCTTGGCAGCCTGTGGGCAGTGGCACTTCTTAGAAACAGCTGTTGGAACCCTCCCACAGGATAATGGTGGCTGCCAGAGTGCCTGGTGGAGACTCTCCAGGCACTCAAAGACACCACTTGTCCATTTCCTTTAAACTAAACCTTTTAGGAGCCTGTCTTCCGTGAAGGGTGAGAGGTCTCTTGCAAGTATAGGAGCAATCTAATGCCCCTTGTCTGTTTGCAGGCTGGATTCTGTCTCTCTGGACATAGCAAGCCCCAATGCTATAGACTTGGCAGTAGCTGCTGATGTGGAGCACTGTGAATGTCCCCAAGGCTACACGGGGACCTCCTGTGAGGTACTGCTGGCCTCTGCCGGTCTCCTCCTCTTTTTAATTTCCAAAGGGGGAAACTTGCATGCTGAAGTTGATATGATGAATGTTTGCATTTTAGCTTTTAAAAACTTGCATGTGGCTTAGACTTTATTAAATTATGGGCTACTGGGCATTATATTGTTTTTAGAGTGCATTCTACTCTTGCAAAGGACCTAAGTTCGATTCCCAGCACCCATATCTGGTAGTTCATTACTGCGTATAACTCCAGCTTGAGTTATAAGGTGCAATGAGGGGGATCTGATGCCTCTGGTCTCTGTCAGAACACACATATACACATCCATGCAATGCCCTCTCACATGATTAAAAACAAAAAAATAATTAGATTCCTCAACAGGAGTTGACTGACATACCTTGAAGTTCCTGGACGCCATGCAGCTTTCTTGCCTCAGTCAATAGGCAACTTGCAGTGCTTATGATTGACTGTGCATCTCTAAGAAATATCAAACTTGATTATCTGAATATTTGCAGTCACGCCTGTGAAAGACCAGCATAACTTTGCATAAGCCAGAGCCGTCTTGAGGCCACGTAGTCCTCTGGCTAGTTTGCTCGAGCTGTCTGGACCTTACATGGCAGCACAG